TCGGCTGTCTGGCGTCCCGTCACAACTTGAACTTTTCACTCTGGCCCGACTGCAGGGTGTCTCCAGTTCTACGAAAACTTTGGACCTGATCAAATAGGTGAGAACCATCTGCTACGAAGACTTCCAAACTAATCCCAATAAATTCAAAACACAGACCTATTTGTATACTTACGGGGCCAGGAGTCGATTGACTTCCCAACACGATTTAGCCGAAATAATATTAATTCGGTTAAGGGTAAGCCAATTACTTAGGGTATTTGTCAGTTCGCTGATTCCGCCCATCGAGTTCACCCCTTTCTGGATTTTTGTTTTTTTGTTTTCAGTTTGCAGTCCTTTGTTCGAGTTGCTGAGCTGCTTTTCGACAGCTTCAAATCAAACATCGTTGCTTCGGCTGTCATTGCGTGGCACGCACATCAGCAACAAAGCCCCTGTCCCTGTCCCTGCCCCCAGTCCTCCTGCCGCCTACCTCACGCCTAACCCTTTCAGATCCCCCTCCGAAGAGCCCCTCGCACCTGCGACTCACATGCGGATAATTGTGGACTCGTAATTGTCTCAGGTTTTGAACGAAAATTGAGTCATTAGACGGCGCTCAGGGAGGCAATCAGGCAAACAACAACAAACGGCAGCAAACAATAACAAACAGCTGGGAGCAAGAGGCAAGACTATCAAACGGTACTTGCACCGTGCGAAAAATCTGGTCGATTTGAATGGTTTTTAGTCCAAAAGTGGCTAGGCCTCATTAATATCTATGAGCGTTCGTAAAGACCAACTTCCTATTTAGAATCAAGTATGTTTGGCTATTGACATCTCAAAGATTCTCTGTGTAGGCTTTGTGGCCATTAAGGTCGATCTTTTTATAATTTGGCCGGCGAAGCGGGGAGTTAGGTTTGCGGTTTCGATTTCTACTGGCGTGTCTGCTCCACAAATGATCTTTGTGCTGGCCATCTGGATATCAAGCTCCACGGGCCTTCCCCTCAACGGGGGCAGCGCGTGTCCTGGCCAAAAGCCCAAAAGCATTTATCACAACTACAACTATAACGACAACGACAACACGACAGATACGGCTAAGCCACAGCATTAGCCTCGGCTACAGATACAGATACAGATACATTTACAGATACAGATACAGTTGCAGCTACAACTGCAATTACCACAAGTTTGCTACTGGAAATGCTGGACATGCCAGCATGAGTGATGATGAATGAGTGCCAGATTTGAAGAAGACAGCCCGAAAAGCGGAGGAAGGGGGTCTGCCTGCTCCTGACCCTCCCTGCCCACCGGTCTAAATGCCATTTAATGTTAACAAATTCATTTTTGGCGACAAACGGACCAACGCAGAGAGAAAATTCCCACACAAACAACAAACACGACCAAGAGCACAGTGGGTAGAAAGTAACCAGTTAATTATAGTATACGTGTGGAAAGGTTCAGTAGTTGTGTAAAATTAATAAAATATGGAAGCACTCACCCTTTAAAGCGGCAACGCCACACACTGGCTCCTGGTGGAGAAGCTCTGGGGTTTATAAAGCCTGTTCAGCTGTTGATACATCCGATCCTATATAGCCTTGTTCTTATTTCAAGTTGCTCCTTTAAAGTCATAGATTCATTCAAGTAAGGCCGTTCTGTCTCCAATTAGAAAATACAGCATTACCAGGGCGTTATATTTGCGCTGTTGGATCGGAATTTAAACACACATACCTTCATTCATTATAGTTCCACTTTTAACTTTAAATCGGATCTGATTTTATTTTCACCTGTTGAGCAGAGGACTATGTAACTATACCTTTAAGACTTCATTTGATGCAGATTTTTTACCATTTCATTTGGAAAACTTGTTTTCGATGAGGGATCGGAAATTGATAGAAATATACTTGACACTTCTTCCATAATCCATAGTTCTTGCCTTTTCTGGTTGAGTTTTTAGCTGTTTAATTATTATCCTCGCTTTCGACATTGGATCACTAATTCAAAAGCGAAAATGAGGAGATGGCTTGAAGATGATCGGGATGAGTATGGCTTGGATGGCATGGATGAAAGATGACCGGATCTAGTCTGAAAGGAGGATAAGTATGGTTTCATAAACGATGCTAGTGTTGCTTTGGTAGAGTTAGTCAGTAGTTAGTACATGATTTTGCAACTCGTTGTTATTTTGCGGGCCGTGCCCCACTGTGCGCCTGATGCAGCAAATACGGCCATGGCTCTAGCACGTCCATCATTCAGGATTGACCCGTGACCCCACCTTCTGCCCTTCCGCCCTTGCCGTTGGGCGGCTGCCAACTGATAAACGAACGTCACACGTCAGGACTCTGGGCAGTTGGCAGGACATCAGTCCGGCAGGCCAGCAGGCCAGCGGCTCGGAAACGGAGAGAGAATCTCGTCCTGGACGAACGCTTTTGTGGATTGATGGCCCTGGACAGATTGAACGCCGCACGCACACCCTGCCAGGACACAGGACACACCGTCATGTGTGTAGCCCGTTAGTATGTAAAGCTACTGCAGGCTGATGGACATTTAATATGCGTTTTAGACAAGCCCCTGGAACACATTGCAGCAGTGAGTATGTGCGTGTGTAGAGTGCGATGTGCTGCACAGCATCCTTCTACCGGTGCAGGTACAGTGAGGCCACAGAGCGGAGACCAGCCAGCAGCACCAGGGTCGCCGTGTCCCCCCTAGGCGGACCTCACTGTGCCATGTTCATGCCCATGTCCATGTCCATTCCCATGTCCGAGTGCGTGCCCCGTTTTGCAACGCCTGCAGATGTGGATATATGTGTGGATATATCCGTCCGTATGCTCGCTCTATGTGGCGACGAAATTCGTCATGGCCACAGTTGTTGCTGTTGCCGATGTTGCTGATGTTGCATGCCGCTTGTGCAGCAACAACAGTGTGGCATTGTTTTGCATTAAATGCTATCTACGTTGCCGTGTCCAGACGTCCCCTTTCCCCACGTCCACGTCCATGTCTATGCCCTGGCTCCTCCCACTCCCACTACCCGCCACCCCTGCCTTGTTCGCAGTCGTGTTTTCGGTTTTCGGCATTCGGTTTTCAGTTTTGGTCGCAGGTCGTAGCTCGTAGGTGTGAATGCGCGCACATGTGTCGGACAAAAGGCACTGACTTTCGACCACCCCCTGGAGCCCCACCCCCACTCGGAGCAGCCCTCGCATGTCCTTCGCATTGATGGTGTGCTGGACCGATATTAGCCACGCATTCGAACTTGGCCCGCCAGTTGTGCTGGCCGATTAAAGACGCAACTAACGGACACGAAACTCTGTAGAAGATTCGCACCTGGTTCCCACATACCTGGTTTCACTTACCATGCTCACATGTAGTCCTTGTAAAAGCATTCTCTACTGAAAAGCTACTGTTACCCTCGGTCTCTGGCTGAGATTGGACGGACTCACATCGCCAAAGTTTATGGGCTTTCACAAATCCTTGACCCGCCTAGGAGTCCGTAGGACCGAAGGAGTGTACATATATGCATAGATGGACCCCAAACCCCATAGATGGACCCCAATTGCAAAAGGCAGTGTTCTTTGATTTTTTTATTTTATGTATATTTTTTCTCATCAAATGTTTTTCATTTCCATTTTTGTTTGTTGCTCTTCTTCGACTTGTTCGCCTTCCGTGTTTTGTTTTATTTAGGGTTTGTTAACAATTTGTTTTTATTTTTAAGTTTTGTATTGATTTCGCACTTCTCTGACCCTTGACCTTTGCTACTCTCATTCCCAGCGACCTCTGCCCGCCGTACCCAATCTGGGGACCGGCTCGTCCGGCAGGATATAGGACATACATACATATATCTCTGGGTCTCCGTGGTTGTGTTCGCATCATTCATAGACTTACGCATTATGCTAACACTAAATACTTTTTACAATAATAATAATAATAATTCATCGTCAATATCAATGGAAAACGCAAAGGTGTTAGCTGGGAATTTCTGTACTCGATTTGTTTGGTTTTATTTTTTTTATTCTGCTTGCTATATCATTATAATTGGAAATTCATATATTTATGCCCATATACTTTACGTATAGTACATGAATAAGTTTTTTAGGTGTTATCCTTTTCTAGGTTTACATTTAGTTTTAGCAATGGATGTAACCTCATCCTGCCTTCTGCCTTCCTGCTCTCCTCCACTGCTCCTCCTTGCTCTACTACTCCAGTTCCTCATTTCCGTTTCTTTATCCTTTTGTTTATAATAAATTACGTTTGCTTACCGACTAAGACCACAAAAAAAAAAAAAATAGTTTAGTTTAGTTTGCTATGTGTTTCTGTGTACGTGTGTGCTGCTGCATATAGCTCTGCATACGTATGTATATATATATTCGTGTACATATATGCTGTATATATAGACTTAGGACCTAGGCGAACTACACAAGTACATGTCTAGTTACGTTTATGTTGTTAGACAACGATTATAATATATATCCATATTTATAATTGTAATAATATAAAAAAAAGTGTCTGAAAATGCAGGCGAAATAAACAGTTAGAGTTACGAATAAAATGTGCTAATAAAAAAACTTTACTCTGATCCTTTCTGGCCTCCTCGTATCCATGCATACGACGTCTCCTCATCTCTACGTCTCCCCTTTTAGACTACAGATTTTGTATTTGCCTTTGTATTTATACACTGATACACATAAATAGTTTGCCATTGTTGGTTTCTTTTGTTTGTTTACAAATTACAGACAAGACGTTTACTGGTTTCATTTAATATTTTAGTTTTCTTAAAGACTTTTGTATTTGTTAAAAAAAATTGTTTACTATGTGCAGCGCCCGATTATTTGCTCTTAGTGTTTTTACATTTAGAAGGATTCTTCTTTGCCTATTCTCTGTTTTTTGTTTTGTGTTTTAAGTTTTAGGTTTTTAATTTACAAATATTTTGGCGCCGAATTGAAATACAAAAAAAAAAATAGCACAGTTATAATAATAATAATAAAGTATAACAAAAACAAATTCAAGCAGCTGGGCGAGAATGGCTCGGGTAGGGAGTTGGGAGGTGGGAGGTGGGAGCTGAGCTGGTTGGGAGAGAGTACGACCGTGGGGTGGGCTTTCTCTCTGCGAAGAGAGCGACGGGCCACGAGCCACGAGCCACGAAGAGCGACGGCTAGCTATCTTGCTCTAACATTCCGCCATAAGCAACTGCTCCCCAGTTGGCCAGGGCGTTGGAGCAAGACGGCCGTAGTGCTAGCGAACGTGGGGGCGGCCACTTCTGCTGCTACTCGCCGCCGTCACTGCCGCCGCTCTCTCGCGGCCGCTCTCTCCGTTCTGCCTCGCTCTCACTCCCGATCCCGCTCCCGCTCCCGCCGAAGCCAAAGCCGAAGCCCCCAAGGTCCTTGAGGAGCAGCAGCCGCGTTGCCAACTGTTTCGTATATTACCAAACGAGCCCTTCATTCTGCATGTTCTGCGGTTCGCTGAAATTCGTGGAGCTCATAAATTCCGGTGAGTTGGTGCGGGGGCCATTTTGTTGTTGCTGCTGCTGCTGGGTCTGGTTCGCCGCTTGTTGCGCATTCTGCGCCACTTGCTGCTGCTGCTGCACGGCCGCCTGTTGCTGCGCCGCTGCAGCGGCCATCAAGTGCTCCGCGCTGGGCGGCGGGGGCGGTGGCGGCGGCGGTCCGACGGCCGACTGCAGCTGCATGGGCGGTCCGCCCGCTTGTCCCAAGAACGTCGACTCCGGCGTCAGGCCGAACTCGTTCACCATCGGAATGGGTCCGCTGTGGTCCATGGGTCCACCTTGGATGTGAAGGATTCAGATAAAACTTCGGGTTAGTTGCGGGAATCAAAAAATAGAAGGCATCCTTTTCAGCAATCATCACATGAAACTTTGGGTCTCTGTGTGTTTGTGTTCTGGATATACATATGTATGTAGTGTAGTTCTTTGTATGTACTGTGCTACTGCTTCATATCATTACTCGTTCTGATTACTCGTTATGAGTGCTCGTTCTTTTATGATTCTCGTTCAATTAATGGTTTAATTGCGATCTCTCGTTGTTGTAGTCGTATTGTTGATAATGTCAAAATAATTTAAATTTTTAAGAGTTTTGAAGAGTTTTTTCGATCTCACTCTCTTTATTGTGTAAGGTTAAACCAAAATAAAATAAATTTTGAAATTTGGCCGAAAAAAAGCATAAAAACCTATTGGTTTAATTTCTCATTCTATGACTCGTTCTAGTGTTGGTTGAATTACTTGATAGGAACAGTATCTCATAACATGGATCTGTTTGTATTAGGGTTTTTCTGGATTCTGCTTATTTTGTGTACTCTGCTCCTGCTTTAGATCCTCACTAGTTCTTGTACTCGTTATATTACTCGTTTCAATCTCGTTCCATTACTCGTTCGCAAAAAGAAATATAACGAGTGCCATACTCCTTTCTCCAGGACTCGTTTCTTGCACTTTTTCTTGTACTTTTTTGTTAATAAATAAAAAAAAAATTAAACTTGAAAAAAAAGAGCATTTATCCGTCCCGAATTCTGAATGGATAAGGTGTGGTCATTATCGTAGCTCAGATTAAAAAAAAAAGTATATAACTATGTATATATTACGAGGCGTAACACTGCGTATGAGTGATCAGAACCAGATATCCGAAGCTACTTAGTGTATATTTTATGAACATAATTGCTCTGTGTATCTTGTTTGTAATTCTTGCTTAGACTACTGATCTTCAGAAGCAAACTCACCTGGTGCATTGAACGGCATGGGTCCACCAGGGTGCCCGGGAAAGTAGGGGCCGTCGTGCGGGTGGAAGGGTCCGCCGTAGCCGAACTCGAACTTGGCGTCCGCCGCGAAGTAGGGGAATCCGGGTCCGTCGTCCAGGCCGCCGGGCGATAGGTTCATGGGGAAGCCTCGCATTTTACGGGCGCCCCCGAAGAAGGGCGGACGACCCATGCTGGTTATCTGCTTCATGCGCCGCTCCTTCGACCGCTTGTTCTGGAACCACACCTGGAAGGATATTGCTTGGATGAGTCCAACGAATATAGTCTTGTTGCCCTTGTAACATCTCCCCACTTTGCATATCGCTTAGTATAACATGAAGTCCTATCTCTGGTGTCTTATACGATGCTTGTGTCTTGACTCTTGAGTCTCGGGGATCGGTTTATGGAGGCGCATGTCTAATTGTTGCTGCTGCCCATGGTGCTTGTGGCTTTTTTGCATTGATGCTACCGCCACACCGGGCGGCCGTCGCAAAATTAGCCCCATTCCCCCTACCCCACTGACCCATTCCCACAATCCAAAGGCCACCATTCACAATTCAGTGCCCACATCGACATCCACTGCCATCCAGCAGATCGGCAGGAACTAAACCTAAAGCCCAAGTCGAAGTTTCGCAGACTGCGCCGACGTTGCTGCCATTTTTACGACGTTCTGCTTGCCAGAAAAAAAAGGAACAAAATCTTTGGGGTTTCTCGGTCCTGGATTGTGGACTGGGGACTGGGGGTCCCCTGTTCTGGGCTTTTGGTTTTTAGTTTTCGGCTTTCGTTTTCCAGTGTTTTTTTAGCTGATGTTACGGGTGCTCCAGAAGCACCGTGCCCAGCATGCAGTTATAAAATAAAAACATATTTCAAAAGTTTTAGTGGCACCTTTCGGGCGGCATACCCCGATCCTTTGTCTCTCGTTCCCTGTTCCCATCCTTTTTATTATTATTCCGCTGGTTTCTGTTCTGGATTCTGGATACTGGATTCTCGATACTGGGCTGGCTCTTTTTAATATTCATATCTGGGACGCTCTTTTAATGATCTGCTGCAACTTTTTTGAATTTCTCCTGGTTTTATATATTTTTCTCAATGAAACTTTTTGATTTATGTCTTTGCGCTCCGCTCCGTTTCGGACTTTGTTCATATTTTTGTTGTTTTCGGTTCCTTGGTTCTGTCGGTGTGGTGTGTGGTGTTGTGCTTTTTGGCAAATAGTTTCCAATGAATTGGGCTTAGATTTCGGTTTTTGACCCATTGCAGCTGTTGGCCAATTTAACCGTGAATTTTAATGATGAGCGCCGTTCTGCAGTTCATTTGAATTTATGAACTCGTCCGGGGACGACTCGTCCGGCTAGACGTGCATATTGCCCCGAAGAACTCCCATAAAAGCCCTTCACATTTCACATTTATAAACTGACACATTCGGCGGCGCAGCGAATTTCGCTAGAAAAGCCTTTTTCGGGCCTGAGAACGAGGAGTCGCAGTATGTATGTATCTTTGTCGGCAAACAGGATGCACACAAAAGGAAGTAACATGCTGTGCATAGTTGGGTCTCAGGCCCCATCATCTCAGCTCAGGCATCGGCCCAGGAACATATGAGCATTTGAACATGTGTCTTGGCTCGCCGAACCGAATCCAAATCTGAATCCGAATCCGAATCTGAGAGGATGGCCAAAACGGTTAATGCTCAAGCCCCTGACGTTAAGAACAAATTGCCATTCGCCGTCCAGAGTTCCTCTGGAGCGTGTGACTTTATGACAGTCCTGGGAGATTATCTAGCGAGGGTCTGCCGGCCAGCAAACTGCTGGGAAGTATAGAGCTGGGAAGCGTTATAAAATCGAACGACAACACATTCGGCAACTTCATTACGCAATCCCATCGATGACGCCGTAAAACTCGGCGGCAAAAAAACACAAATAAGCTAAACAAAGAGGCCAGAGTCCCTAGAACACGCGGCTAAGCTGCCACCGCATTTCAATTACGCGTAGCGCTGCAACGCAATAAATAAAAGGTGTGTTGCATGCCCCCCCAAGCACCCACCGTGCAACTAGTGCCTGCCAGAGTGGGCTGGAGTGTTCGCAATATTTTTCCATATGCGATATTTGCCTCTGTGGGCCAGGGCCTGCGGTCACATAATTTTTCATTTTCATATGCGCTCCAAACAAAAGAAACAACAATTGTTGGGGGAGGGCGTGGTTGGAGGGGTTGAACGGAGAAGGGGTAGAGCCCAGGCAAACTAAAATATGCATTTACAATAGTTTTGCATTTTTTGCCCGCTCCTGCTCCGGCTCCTGCTCCTGCTGGTGCTGTTTTGTTCCTTCCGCAGTTAGTTTGGTTTGGAATTGTGGGGGATTGGGAGCTTGGGTCGGGTTCGTTTCCCATTTCTTTGTGTTTTTTACTCTGCGGCACATTTCCCCATTGTTTTGTTACGTCCACAAAGAAAAACAGCAACAAATGGCAAATGGTGAATGGTAAATGGTAAATGGCAAATGGAGTGCAACAAAATGTACTCTTACTGCGGCAACAACATACAAAACAACAAAGAACAAAAAATGGCAGAGAAAAATATACAGAAATAAACAAAAAATGGCAATTGCATGTGGGCGTCGTCTCCTCTCCACACAGCGCGGGTCCAGGTCCAGGTCCAGGGGCGGGTGTCTCCAACGAATCCATTATGTAACCCCACAGAGTCCCCACAAAGCGCTCTGGCCATCCAAGACCTCAAACTGACTTCCCCAGATCAAGGAGCAGTGCCATACTTGATCCATGGTACTTTTTCGTAGCGCGCTCCCCCATGGAGCTCCAACTGCAGTCCAATATTTGCACTTTGCAGTAAAAACCCTCTATAGTTGCCAATCAAAATTCCAACTCCACAAACCAACAAAAATCTGTTTCTTTTTGGCAATAAATGTGCGAAAAATATTTTCCTTTGCCTTTGATTTTGTTTCCATATTGTTTTAGAGTTTATAGTACGTGTGTGTTTTAAATTTAGTCGAGATTTAGTTTTCGTTTAGAGGGAGGAGAGTGCTATACTCCTGTATGCATGCATGATATATCAAAATAGCATCATTATCTGGGGTCCTCCGCCCCACTCTGGTTGCTTTGCGCCAAATTGTTGGCAATTTTGAAAAATGTGCGGCTAATATTTTATTTCCGCACTTTGGCCGAAAATCGAGCAGCAGAACACAGCTCCGAAATTTGTTTCCAATTTGGAGTGGAGCTTTCAACAAATTTCCGACCTGGCCAAGCTCAACCGTAAACAGAGGGGCGGGCGGGGTGTCGAAGCGGGGACGGGCAGTTGGACTAAGTTAAACGCGCGGCCAGCAACATTTGAACATTTAGTTAAATTATAGGTTAGACTCTGACATAAAAGGGCAAACAACGTAGCATAATGGGCCGTGGTAGCAATCAGAGAGGGGTCCCAAGGGCGGCAGGGGCGTGAGGCAGGAGGCCGAATCCCTCACATAACAAAATGATTATTGCAGCCAACGGCACTGAAAAAAACCAGAGGTAGGGTAGCACTTCCCTCAGGGGCAGAGTCGCAATCCGTTCTCTCAGTGCACAACTGGGAGCTGTGCCTCAGAGGGTTAGGCTAACCACCTGCCCTACCGCCCCTGTTGCCCCTCCCAGGCCCACCATCGGCATTGTGTTGGAAATTATAGCAAATTATGTTAAACGGCAGCGCGTTGGCCTCCCACCTGCCCCTCCCCTTTTTCGTGTTTCTTACCCTTTTGCTGCTCATTTCGGCGATTGAGCGACGACGGGTTCATAGGGGCGGGATCGGGATCGGGATGGGGATGGGTCGAGTATAATAATAATCCCAAATCGGGGCTAAAAGAAGTCGCCTCCTCGGCCAACAAACACAAGAAATAACTCCCCAAATGTGTGTCACGTTTCTGGTTGCCTTTGATTGATATGATTGGGCTTGTGGTGTGATTGAGGGCTGGGATTCCGATTCCTATTCCGATTGCGATGCTGATTTGGTTTCGGATTCAGTTGCTCGACATTAGCCCTTTGTTGGCCCATTGTTTGGCACGATTACGACGGCTACCACTTACAATTTACCACCAAAGTCTCCGTCTCCGTCTCCGTTTTGGACTTTGGCGGTTTACCATTTTTGTGATGAGCCTTCTCCTCGGTTATTTTGTTAAATTAGTTTGCTGTGATGCGGCAAGATTTGTTTGTTTGTTTGGATTGCCTTTCATGGCGTTTCATTGTTGGCCGCTGCGGCTTCTATTCGCCGCTTAATTGCCAAAAACAAAGGAGTGCCCAGTCTGGGCGGGAAGGGGCCACAATGGTAGCAAATGAATTTGGCAATAACGATTTTCGAGGCTAATCAACGCCGGCATTCAAGCCGAAGAAATCCGAGAATAGGCCCAGTTCCTAGGAAGACCAAAAGTCGATCAAAACACATCGAAATCATAACAAATACGTGGGTTTGCGGTTTGTAACTATGATCTATGGATACTCCACTTGGAAGCACGATACATATGGTCATTAACCCATTGAGTTCCACATTACATGGTAGAAACGCGGGATAATGCCTCCGAAATACCTCCGGCGATGATACGAGCACTTGTCGATGATTTGCATTTATCGAGCGCCGCCTGTCACGCCCTCACAAAAAACAAGCCAACATATCGATGACTACCGACTTCAGTTTGTGTTCCGAAAAACATAATTCGGACCCTGGGACTTCAGACCCTTTGTTCTCCTCCTCCCAAGGCCTGGGTTGCGTTTTCCTTCCCGATTGAGGCGTGAATTGGCCTCGAGTAAGAGTTAACAGATAATTAACTTCTTCGTTTCGAGAGATACTCGAGCATCTGCATCTGTGTTTGTGGCGGTGGCTCTCAGGTGGATGGTTTGTTTTTTTTCGAGATAGTTTAGTAGGTGTTACTGGGGAGGAGAGCTCCTTGCATGACCAGCACTTTTCGGTTTAGGGTTATTCCTCGTTTCGTTTGTTTTTCGCTGAGGGTTCAGTTTAGTAGGGTTTTGGCTTAGGTTTTGGTAGCCCCGGCCCGGCGCCTCAATCGAAATTAATAGCAAGTTGATGAGTTGTTGAAATTATAATGTCCCTCACCCTCCCCCCTAGGGAGAGGGCCAGGGTAGTTGCCGTGTCATGGCAGGGAAGGCGCCCGCAGTTGAAACTACCATTCCATGTTGAAATAAATGCGTTAAATTAGCCCCTTTTGTGGCCCGCTTGTGAATGGTTCGGTTCCATCGGGCTTCTTTTTTGAACTTTTCGGAGCTTGCGGTTCCAGTTGGAGTTGGAGCTGTCTCCACCGTCCCCCATCCCCCATCCGCCTCACTGCAATCAAAACAATTTCCGCTCGATTAATAAAAGCCCAGTTCAGATCTTTTGACTAATTAGTTGGCCATAAAACAAAAACTCCGAGTCCCAATCCAAATCCAAATCAGAATCCAAGTCCGAAAACGAAAACTCTATACGACAGGCCCTGAAATTTGTCAACTTCCGAGGCAGCAGACAAAAGCGAATGATTCCAAAAAAATTTATATGAAAAGTATAAATCTCGGCTCACCGATCAGGGCCCAGGGAGCAGGGCAGGGTGGGGTGGGGGAGCGGAGAACGACAAATGCAAATCACAGTCTGAGAAATGCTCTCGAATATGTTTTCTGTTGACAAATAAACGCCTCTGCACGGCGGCGACAGCACTTGACAAATGTCCGGCTCGCATCCGCATCTGTCGCCGTCCCTACCACACTGTATCGGAGCTTGTATCTCAGTATCTTTGTATCTGGGTATATGGATATCTCCGGCGGGTATCCAAAGCCTGGCGCCAAGCTCAGCGCATGCCACATTAAAAATTTGTTTAGCTGCCGCTCGCGCTCCGTCGGCCGTGTGATTTCGTTTATTTGTTTATAATTTTTCAAAGCTTAAATGGAGCGTAAGCCGGGCCAGAAACGAAACAACAGGGCCTGACCCCGGGGAAGAACGAAGCACAATAAAACCCGAGCCCCCAAGGAAAGTGGAACAGGTTGAACCTGGCATCTGGCCAGAAAATGTCTCGGCCGCTTCCCGGGCGACAATCGTGGCCATAACTCTTCGGAGGCACTCCGCTTTTAATGACAGACCAGAAGAGTGCTCGATAGATAGCCCCTTCCCCGCTGAAGAGACCTATGTGGAGCGATAGGTTTTATGCCCTGCTTTGGTAGTTATGTTGTTTAGATAGGCCTGATGGCTCCCATACATCTTCCTCCTATCGATTCCCCTAATTTTTCATAGCTTTATGGGCTTTATGGGCCCTCCATGGGAATCACTCGTATTGGCTTTCTCAGGTGAAAGGCGAGCCAGAGCCGGGTAATCGCTGACTTAGTGCAGCAATGAGTACTGTATTTAAGCCCTAAACTAGAATGGCTGTGGGCTTCTGGCCGCGAGTTCACCGCTTTTGTGTCAAAGTTCACGCAGGAGAGAGACGGACCTATTTTGGCGCCCATCGAGGGGCCGAACTTGTGTCCCGTGGCGCGACCCTCTGGCCCACCGCCCTCGGCCCCCTGGCTGTGTGTCGGCAAAAGTTCTTAAGAACTTCTTTGTGTCATGCCCTCAGGTCTGTGCCTGGGGCTGCTGCTGCCGTGCCATGCCATTGCTGTTGTTGTTGTTGTTGTAAAATTTATTATAAAACTCACAGCGGGCGGGCGCCCAAGCAGGCGGAAGAGCGAGAGAACGGAGGCGGGAAAGAAGAACCGGCAGATGGGGTACAAATTTTCTCGTTGACATCTCTCCAGAGGGGCAGTGATTCGGGCTATTCTCGCTCCCCTCCCATCTTGCCATCTCTCACCATCTTACCATCTTGATGAGCTGACGAGCTGACGAACTGGGCGCTTTGATGGGGATCGGGTTACTCAAAGCGACTTCCATAGAAATCAGCTGGAAGCTGACTATATCTATGCATGTATCTGGCCACGGACACACGATACCCTTGATATTGGGACAAACTGAAACCAAAAATCAAAAACGGAGAAGAGCGAGGGAAGCGGAGCGGGTTAAGAGTGCAGCCCTAATGAAGATGCAAATGCATCGGCGACTGACAGCTCCCTTTCCAGAGCAGATTAAGATTTGGTGGTGCCTCGGCACTTCAGCTCCGACTGGCTGGCATTTGTCACTTTCGTTTAGCTCTGAAAAGGGACCGATCCCAAAGAGGTGTTGATTGTGTCACACTTGTCGCCTCAGAGAGCGCTCAGCTCAGCCCCGCAATCCACACGAGAGGAAAAAGAAACCAAATCGACAAGAAACGAATGCCGCCTAAATATCCTTTAACTGTAACCAATGACACTTCAAAGAACCCGAGGCCGAGGGCCGCAATCCAAACGCCAGAACCAAGCCGAATCGCGGCGAACCTGTGCCCATCTTGAGCGGCATGGGAATATCGAGGTGAGTGTTTCAAGTGGCTACAAATTCCCGAAAAACAATGGGCCGGCCAGCTGGAAGAGGGGAGCGGAAAATTCACGTCAGTTAACCTAATGATCTTGTTGCGGTCAGGACCGAGATCGAGATCGAGAGCATATGCTGGGGTATCCCTGACAGGCCTCAATAGGAGGAACATCTGTTTAACGGTGGGAAAGGCAGGAGCAGAAGGACTCGGACCCGCAGTGGGAGTGGCCTAGGTAAGCGGTCTGTCAGCACAAAATTATGACGAGGCGAGGTGATGGCTTAGTTAGGCGGACATCGAGCCACTGTCCACCGAATGGAAACCATTTTCACACCCCACTGCTTATCCGAATGCCATTACCCAGAAAGCCACATCGGCGCACTTCAAAGGGGCACCTGCTTAAGTTCCAATTAAGTTTCTGGTCCGGGAGTGCAGCCACTTCCTCAATTAATGGGGGCCCCGACGATAATCCGGCCCACTAGGGCTGCTTAACATATAGCCGCGATATGCTCAATTTGTTGGCCGCTTTTCTAATCCCATTACCAGCCGGCGTGCACGTAATCTGCTGCTTTCCCGTAATCACAGCCTTGCATGTTGGCCAGCATTTTCCACTCCACAGTCCACACCCCGTGTTCTCGGCGCTGGATGGCCAGGATGCATCCGAGGCGCTCTGGCCTTTGTTCTGTTGGTTTCTGCTCATTGCTGATTTTAGTCTCTGTTTTCGGCGCATTGAACTTCCGTTTTGAATGGTCTGGGTGCTGCCACGCCCATGCGGCGACTGTGACTGTGTCCGCCCTCGTTTCGACATTAATTTTATTTTTTATTGTATTTGCTTTGGTTTGTTGTTTTTACTTTTATTGGCCGAGCAATGAAGCGTTGCAAGGCGGCAGCAGTAACGTTCAAAAATCGCGTCCGACTATTTTTTATGATTTCGTAGGGAGATGGAGTGGTCGGAGAGGGACGGAGAGGCCGGTGGTGACCGCGTTTGCCTTAGTTTTAACATTTTTCAGTCAAAGCGCGGTTAATTTATGCCTTTTTTATGCTGATGAAACGCAGACGGAACGCTCCAGCTCCAGCTCCACTCCACTTAATGCTCACAGCCTAAGACGCGGACGCGGAGGTCGATCTCCGAGAAATCGGGGAGTGAAGAAGCCGCCATACAAAGTCACCCGTCGGGGGAATAAATTCGAATAGATTGGAGGAACCAACTACCTACACTTGCCTCTGCCAGAGCAGTCTTCTATTTAAGATCTATTGTGACAAGAGTAGGGAAGTTAGGCAAGTACTAGACACTCTTTTCCCATTCAGGGTCTTGGTCTTCCCCATCCAAACACCCTCGCAAACTACCCAAAAACTCACCTGTATGACGCGCATGGGCAGGCCCGTCTCTTTGGCCAGTTGCTCCCTGATGTGGCGTGTCGGCTTCGGCGTCTGATTGAAGGCCGTCTTGAGCACCTCCAGCTGCTTGGCCTTGATGGTGGTGCGCGGGCCGCGCCGCTTCGATCCGTTGGCATCGTCGGGACTTTTGTTCTCCGCCTGGGAATCGCCGCGTCCATCCGGATCGCCGTCCAAGGAGCCCTGCGTGGAAAGATGGAGGTTATACGCATATGTATAATGTATAATGTATAATGCTGAGTGCCGAATGCCGGGCCTCATAATCATTTGCCAATCATTAATCAACGTTGAGGGCGGAGGAGGGGGAGACCCCAACAAAGCCACCTCACCGAGCCATCATCAGGGCGAAGAGATGCAAGTGGCAATGTACTCCTCGCCCCATTCATTACTCGGCCAAAAAGGCAAACGAGGAGAGAGCCAGGGAGGCAGAGGGCTAATGACTAGCGCTTCCATTTCGATGATCTTACCTGATCGGAGTCGTCATGGGTATTTTTGCTATCGGTGCTCATGCTTTGTACTGATATATCCGACGTGCCCAGGGGTCCGCCCGCCGAGTCGGGTCCGTTCGGGCCCAGTACGCCCAGTCCGAGTGCCGTGGCCCGCAAGTGCGGCGGATCATCGTCGTCGTCGTCCTCGCTCGCCGAGCCCATTAATGAATCTGTAAAATCAGTTGAGTGAGTGAGATTTCCGTGAACAAATTGCCGTGGAGGGGAGGGCACCCAGGCACCCAGGCACCCATTGAGAGGCACTTAAAATACAATTGCAATAAATAATATTTGTGCTGGGCTAAGCCCAAAACGACGCTGCTGTCTGGGATTTGGGAAGGGACTATGAATGCGAATGGAATTGGCAGTGGGAGTGGGTTCTGTGTTCTGGTACTAAGATTGGGTTTATTTAGCCGACTGCTGACTGCTGACTGGCTGGGTCACGTGTCGCCATTTCATGGTCTAAGTAGCTGCTTCTGGTTGCGGGTTATTATTCCCCCGACTGGTGTTCGGGTCACGTGTCAACTGCAGTCGTTGCTCGCCGATTCCTCTATAAGTTGATTAACCCGGGGACTTTATCTCTGGAGCAGCAGAGCAGACTTGAGCTCCGGGCCATGCAAAATGCTGACACGCGCTCCACTTTTCAGCTCTGAGCTTCGGAGATAAGAGGAAAACGACCGAACACGGGCAGCGTTGAAACGTGTCACTCAAAATCAGCGATTCCTACACCCGGAAAAAGAAAGGGGCGGGACTTGTTTAAACTGCATTAAGAGATGGCTGGGCTTTGTTTCCACAGTGTTTTCTTCCAGTGCGGGCTGTGCCGAATCGAAAATCTCGGCGCAACTCCTCGGGGAGCACCTGACAGAAAAACACACATACTTGCGCCGAGCGTTCAAATCGAATCAGTCCCCGGGGACAGTTGCCAGAAATAAATTACACTTTATTATGCATAATCTAATCCGCACCAGATGCAACCCCGCGCACCAGATCCCGAAACCCTGCGATTCACTCTGAATCTGAATCTGAATGTGAGTCTAAATCAGAAACAGAAACAGAACCAGAGTCTCATCTGCCACCTGTCACATCGACTGACTGCAGAGAAAATCTTGCCGGACGAGGAAGAGCTTAACGCGTTCCGAGCCTGGTCCAGACCTCTGAGATGATGGGATGAGTGGAGCTGATGACGACGCAGATGCTCGAGAGCAGCTCTCCAGGAACAAAGCCACAAGCGCGGCTTGGCTGTCCACGGGGGGTAGCATTCGAATTAGATGGATGCAAGCTAGCGATCCAGGAGAGGAGCAGGTTGACGAGTCTGATGAGATTCGGTTTTTACGCATCGTAATTGGGATGACGTATTTCTTATGGATTAGAAAAGCGAAGAGCAGCGTCTTCATTTGAAAGAGCCTACCTTGGATGAAGAGCTGAGGCCTATTCCCCTCTGAAAACTACAATCCAGGAAGACTTCCCACCATCTGGTGCTCCCAGGCCCGCCTAACCCATATCAGTCTTGCGTTAACCCACGAGATCTTATCCGTTCGAGTGTTTTCGTTCAGTCGAGCGTCGCGTACTGGTCGAGTGTCGCAGAAACAGTCCTCGTGTTCCGTGTCCTCGAAGTCCTCCAACAATTGACCCGCCGGAGCGAAAGGACTTCAAGTGTTTACCAGCATCGCTTACCCACTGGTCCGGAGGGGGAGTGGCGGCGGTTTAAAGTCCGAAACCACCCAAAAGACCTTTGGAAGCGACGCTTCCATATGGGCGCTTTAAGTTGTTGTAAACACATGTTAATAAACACGCCGAAGGTACCGCCACCCCGCGGTCCCCACCCCGTTCCAAGGACGGGAGGGTTGTCAGTACCAGCAACAGCAACAGCAACAACAACCTACTCGAGCATCACTCAAATTAACTTTGAAAACCATTCAGGAACACTTCATTTGATTGCTGGCAAAGGAAAGGAATTGAGGAAACCCTCCCTTGAATAGCAACACCCCCGCCCATCCAACCGCCCAGCCGCCCTTCCACCCATCGCCCCCGGGCGGTTGTTGTTTGTAATTGTTGTTGTAGCAATAGCAATTATGCCATTGAAGCAACCCCCGCCGCAGCCATAAAAGTTCAAACACTCATTTCGCGCTTAGAAAAATATTTCCAGTAACCTCGTGGCCTTCTGAACGTGCCCCTGCTCCTGCCTCCTCTTCCCTGCCTCTTGCGTCCTGACCCTGTCCCATCTGTTTGTCCTGGACAAACACTCGCATCCGCATTCGCATCCGCAGCATCCGAGGCAGGAGCAAGCCAAACAAGTGCACAGGCGGACGGCGATGCGGATGTGGCTGGGAGTGGGAGTGGGAGTGGGGAGGACACAAGATCCTTGAGAGCTGACAGTCGAGCAAACAGAAGGACAGGCACATAAATAAACAACTGGCGCCTGGTGGCATGAATCCATCATTGTGCAAGGTCCCCTTTCGTCCCGCACTCGTGCCACAACCCCTCACTCGTGGACCTCCAGCACTTCTCCTGTTTGCATAGTCAAGTGCAACAGCTTCCAAGTTTTCCTGAACGGATTCCACTTTCTTTGCCGAACACCTCGGAAGAGGCTGAGAGGTGACTGTCACCTGTATTGTGTGCATTTATTATCTTGTTCCGGGGATTGCTTTTTCTCGATTTCGACGAACCTTTAAAATTCTTTTAAATTGGTCCTTCGATCCGGGTCAGAGCAAGCTCCCCCTTTTCGAATAAAATTCCTACAATCATCTTCTATAAAGTCATTCCCATTCTGCGAAATAAAGTTTACGGCGCTCCGTAAATAGTTTCGTCGAAGAATCTACCTGTCATTGCTTATCCAACGAAAAGGAAGGGAACTTGGGTGGGTGGCTGTGGGTAGATGGGTGGCTTTTTCACCCCAAGGATGCCCAGGAACCGAGCCACCAACCACCACACCACACCACAGTACACCAGGCGACGTAGACAAAGCGCACACACATTAATTTCGAATTAGTTTTGCATCATGTGGTTCACGATGCAGAAAAATCGACTCACTGGCGGGGGGCTCTTGGAATGGTGTGCTATGGTTTGGTATGGTTTGGTTTTCCCATTTTCCACCCCTGCCTCTCCCCCCGGCAAAGGCACGAAGAAGGGGGAACCCCACAGCTCAGCTGGTTCCTTTTCTTCTCGGTTCGTGTTTATGGGCAACTATTAAGTGCACAACGTAGTGCGGCATGAAAAATGCGCCATGGACGTGGAACAGATCGCTGGATTTTCTACATGAGCGCGTTCTGAAAGTCGTTCGCCTCACGACTACACAGACCGGGCCGGAGTACATGTATTCCTGTAAAGAATCTGCCCATTCTGGACTGCGGATGCTCGATTCCTGGTCCTCGACTCTCGTTCTCCCATTCATCGACTGCAAAATTAGGTTAATTCCCGTCAGTGCGTTGCTGTTTTGAATTGTCACCCAGCCCCACAGTGGACCTTCGATAACAGCACCTGCACACACTTCAGGTATAGGTATGAGGTTCCTCTAGATGTGGGTTTTCTCCCAGTGTCTCGTACACCTGGTTCTCGTTTTTTCGCTCCTCGGCTTGGCTTGGGATTTACTCGCACTGTGAGTGTCATGTACATTGACGTTCGCTGACGTCTCTTTGGAGCTCTTCCCCTGATCCCCTTTGACCCCCGTAAGCCCCTGCTTGGCGGCTGTGGATGGCACACCCCGATCGCGGCTTAGTGACGACGACTCTAATCCCCTGACTGCCTGTCGCTCATCCTCCAGCATATGCGAGCGGGCATATATATATACTTCTGCTCTTTTTAGTCGGGGTTTATGTTTTCCCGTCTGAATAATTTTCCTTTTTTCGGTTTTTTTTTGCACATGACAGTTACGCAAGAAAAGTGTCAGCTCGAGCGGGTTGTTATGCAATCGCAATCCCAATCGCAGCTGGGATCCAATGACCGATTGTGGATATTCGATTCGACGGGGCTTTCAGTTGAGGCTTCAATCCTGTAGAACACAAAGGGAATATTTAATCGCGTTTCCCAAATTACCACTCACCTCCTCCCCCACGTCATTGACAGACCCCCCTCGTTTTCGAAAGAATTTTTTGTTAACTGACTTCCGAAGGAGAAACTTTGGCTCTGCCGTTCTTTCCGTTCTTTTCAAAGTCATCAATTGCTGGGGCGTCGTCGTCTGCTGGCATTTAGTGCCACTTGAGCGACAAACTGGCCAACGTCATGTCAAGGTCACAAGCACACACATCCTTGCTCCGGGCAGGAGACGGGAGACAGGGGGCCTTGGGTCATCCGTAATGAGTGTCCAGAGTTGTCCAAGTTGTTGGAATTGTTCAAGTTGCTGCCCCAGCCGGGCAGGGCAGGACAGGGCAGTTTGCACTTAATTTCTGTTTGTGTGTTGCGTGCACAAACATTTAAAATTTATAGACAAACAGGCTAAGACCGTCTGGCCGCCCGCCCTTCAGCCCCTTGTGGGGGGAGTGGGGGGATGGGATGGGGCGCCCAACCTCCGATATGGCCACTTGGCATGCCCAGTCAAGTGTAAAGTGTACGACCACCCTCGCTGGCCAAATGAAGTCGCCGCCCAACCCCATTACCGTGCAGAACACGACACAGGCGACTCCCTCCTCTTCCACCCAGTCCGCCCTGGAAAGGGCTCCTTCTGTTGACTGGTTCACGTTCTTCACGCTTTGATGCGGCATTACAAATTGTTGTGGTATTTGTTGTTGCCGTTGATGTTGCACCCTCGCAAATAGTGGCGCACCAACAGACAAACACAACTTGCCAGTTGCGAGTCATTTAAGGCAGAAGAGGTGTCTTTAAGGTTGAATCTATAGAGTATAGATGGAGTCTACCTTCTAATTACTCCGTTTTTCTTGCAGTGCCCTGACATTTGTTTTATTCACTTGTCGTTGCCGTGGCTCTTGGGCGGGGAGTTGCCAGGTTTCGCCTTCTCATCCATATCTGTCTCGAAATTCGTGGCCGCCGCTCAAAGTGTCAGGAACAGAGTCCTGTGCGCCTTTGTGACTTTGACTCCTGATGATGTTTTGAGCGCCTCCAGTCAGCCAGGGAGCCAGGCAGCCAGTCAGTCAGCCAGCCGGGAGACGGAAGGAAAACAAGGGGCGAATCAGACAAGTTCCCTGAGTTCGAACTTCGTTTTGTTTGACACTTTGCTGCA